AGATAAAGCAGAGAACATCAATAGAAACGGACATACTAACATATATAGAACAAAAAAGACTAACGTGGTATAGACATGTAAGAAGAACTAGTGACAGCAGATGGATAAAGAAAATAACCGAATGGAGCTCCATAGGAAGGAGAAAAAGAAGACAACTCCGAAGATCCTGGAGGAACGAAGTAGATAACGCCATGAGTAAGAGAAGTCTAAACAATGGAGAATGGGACAACAGAGAGAGATGGAAACAGTTAAGCGAGGGACGGTAGTGAATACTGTAGAATCCCTGAATATATATATATATATATATATATATATATATATATATATATATATATATATATATATATATAAGTTCTTCTTCTTGTAATGCCTACCTATTTCGGATGTTGGCGATTATCATGGCAATCTGTATTTTGCAAACTGCGGCTCTGAAAAGATTTGTGGTTGTTGTGTTGAACCATGTACGTGGATTTTTCAGCCAGGAAATTCTTCGCCTTCTTGGTCCACGTTTTCTACTTTTCTTTAAAGAGTTATTTCCATCAACGCATATCTTTCTCTGTTCCTCATGATGTGACCGAAATATTAAATTTTGGCTGTTTTTATTGTGGTTAACAATTTTTTCCTTTTTGCATTCTTAATTAAACATCCTGGTAGTAACGTGGTCGGTATAGGATATCTTCAGGATTCGACGATAAAGCCACATTTCGAAAGCCTTAATTTTCTTACAGGTAGCGTATGTGAGAGTCCACGACTCAACTCCGTACTAGAGTATATAGGAAAGATATAACATCGTAGCAACCTGATTTTTATGGATCATGAATAATCGTGGCATTATCGTGGAAGAAGTTAACTAAATCAATAAAAAAATTAATAATAATCTTTCGTATCAACTGTAAAAGGCAATTTCTTCTTTCTTCTATGTCAGCCACCATCTTTTTCTAGGCGTTTCTCTGAATCTGCAGCCACAGTGGTGTCGTTAATTGCCGTTTTCAGCATATCTGAAGACGCACAACATCAATATATCCTGTAAATAATAATATAGGTACCCATACACGAAACTGCGTACTTCTACAATTTTATTAATCTGTGGCAATTGCGAAAACACTATAGTTAGCATAGTTAGCATTCCTTTTCTGAACCTAAGGAACATAATCAATAGCCTGCACTTTTTTATGTTTTAATTTGATATAAATAATTTACTCACAATTATATATACATTTACAATTACTTATAAATTACTGTATATATTATAACGTAAATGTTTATAATTTACCTTATAATAAGTTTGTATTTATTCATAGCTATACTTCACAATGGATTTAAATGACCTTGACAACTAGGTAGATGTGACTGTACAAAGAAAAATGCACCATCAACAATGCTATTATTACTCTCTATAATAATTAACATCCTATATATGTAAAATATTTGTGGGAATCTCAAAAAACCTTACACTAAGTCCAGTAGTCATATATGCATTCTATAAACTGGTAGTTTCTATGAATATGTAAATATATGGTATTTGTGGTTGAATACTTTGAAATATTTTAAGTATTCTAAGTATTTACCCCAAAAATTTTACAGAGCTAGTAATAGCTGATAACAATCTTTTTTTTATATAGATTGTGCTTCTTTTTAGCATACAGATTTAATATTTAGTGGTAGTAAAAGAATTACTTGGGTCGCAAGGCTCACTGTGGGTTGGACGCCATGTTACCATAATGAGGTTTAGATCTTCGCAAGAATTAAGCCATATCTGCTTTCTAGGTTCTCTGCAGAGGGCTTTGACCAGCCCAATCGAAGTTTTCTCTACGTTTCTATCTTAACTTGAGTGGTGAGCATAGCTCCGTAAAGGGGGCTCCCAGGGTGTAAGAGACAATGTGTGGAAGTAAGACTATACTGCCTTGACTTCCATCGTTATCTGGTTGTTCTCTTTGTTGGTTGTACTTTCTTTTTGGATGACTTTGCTATCCTGTTTTAGGTGTGACACCTTTTCAGGACGTAGTTCGTTTTGTTTGGATGTCAGCATTGCGTCGCTAGGTCGTCTCTCACTGGTGGTACGGATGTAGTCCTGCGGAGGAGGTGGTGTCCAGGGTAGTCAGAGGTGAAAGGGTTTGAACTAAAACGGTCCTTTTTATAATTTATTAGTAAAAAATATATAGTAAATGAATTTAATTAAATAAATTTATAAATGTTATGAATCGCGGAGAGGGCAGCTGTGGCTATAACTTCATAATAGACAGGTATAATGGTACAATGGGATCGGGAAACTACAGAAAACCTATCCTAGTGCCTCCCCGTCCTAGTAAAGCTCGAAATGAGCTATTTATTACTTTCGGCGAAAAAGTGGAGTTGCCTCCAGGATATTAATGCATTCATCAGGGAGTTCGTTGCTGGCTAGAATCAGCAATTTAGTGGGTAGCAATGGGAGTTTGCGTTTGGGGTGTCTAATAAATACACTACCGAAGGATGAGCAGATTTTGGGCTCTGAGGTTTTGGCTAGGGATGGTTTTGATTGTATAACTCCTGCTCAGAGAGGAGAGCCTCCCATTGATGGGCTGGATATTGGACAGTTGATGTATGAGGGTGGAGGGATAGTCGTGCCGTTTATAGTTTACACTACGCAGGATTCCCCGTTCCAATCCCAACAGTTGTTGTGTAAGGTCGTGATTAAACATGGCAGATATATTTGCTCTATATTAAATCATGAGCCTAATCAATGTTTTGTATGTGTGTATGAGTATACGTGTGTCCATCGAAATTTACCACAGAGGGCATTGAGTAAACCTTGTTTATTCTCCTTTTATTCTCCTTGTAAATTCTCCTCACCCTGTTATGAATTGCAGCCAGATCAGCCCTCCAGTGTGTTTCTGTGAACACCACACTGAGGAACTCTATCTGGTTATGGCGCTGGTGTCGATCACCCCAGAGACCCAGACCCAGACAGAGGTTGATTTTTGCGGCTAAATTGTATGTAGTGTATTCGCTAAGATTGGGGTGTCTAAAGAGAATTAATTGTGTTTTATTAGGTTTAGGTGTTACTCTCTATCTCCCTCACCACCTGTCGACCGGGTCAAGGAAATTTTGAGCAAACCTACATAGAGCATCTTCGTCTCGAGATGTTGTTACGAGAGCAGTGTCATCTGAGTAGGGTAAAGTGAGAGTGTTACGTGGGTTGGGGAAGTCGCTATTGTATATCGTGTAGAGTATTGGTGCCGCCTTGGCTTGGACAAAGCTTCCTTTTTATACATTTTTCTTTCGTATCGATAAAGTCCATTGGCCAATCGTAAATTGTGTAGAAGATAAAAGGCGGAGAGATGCGCATCGACGTGCTCGTTGGTCCACAGACTTTTGTTATCTGGTGATCTCGAAGGTATATTTAAGTTGTTATTTATGGAGATAAAAAGTATTATTAACTCGGAGCTTCTCATTGCAGAATGCAGAATTGAATATGTTGCTTCCCTCTATTATTTAAATTTTCTTCATTCAACATATTTTTAACACCTTTGGTAATTTTGTCACCAATAATTGCATTAAAATCTACTAGAATAATTACGTCTTCTAATTTGTTTGTATCAGGAGCATATATACTTACTATATTGGTCCGAGTTGTCGCCGTGAGCTCAATGGTGGTTATCACAAGTCTCTCACTAACATAATCTGATGGTTTTATGTTTTTCTGGTATTTCTTGTGCACTAGTAGACCTACTAGTGAAGCAGCTCTGTCAGCTTTCGGTTTTTCACTGTATCTTAATATATACTCTGCCAATCGTAGATTCCCCTTGCCTTTCTTTTTAGCTTCCGATAATGCACATAATATATATCAGTGTTGTTGTTCTTCCAATCGATTAGATTTCTTGTCCTTTCAGTCGTCATAAGTTTACCAGTTGTTCACAAGAAATCTATGTTCCTGTAGTTGACTGTATACCATATATTAAAAAGTTTATTAAAATCCTTTATAATGCTAGTCCTGGCGCGGTGTGTCTACGAGGACTTTATGAAAGCAACTCAGTTGCAACTTCACGTAGAGTCATATGTCGCCATGTTACCAAATCTAACGGTAACTTTAACATCTTAATATTTTATAAGAGCTAATGTAAACTAAATTTACCTAAATAATTTTTAACGGGGTTTTACCCTAATAATTAGTGGCTACATTCATGTATACCTAGACACTGATGATAAAATATGGATTCCGAAAACGTTTTGTTTAACATAGCCCGATTGGGTTTTTAAATATATACCTTTTATAAAGGATTTTAATAAATTTTTTACCAGTTTTGTTGTCTGAGGCTACTCTCTTTGTTGTGCGAACGTCTTTGATGCTCTTACCCATCACTTGGGAACCCACTTTTCGGAGGACTTCTCCCTTCCCCGAAGGCACTGACCCTACCATCTACAGGGAATTGGTTAAATAATCTTCTGTAGGGTTACTCAGGTTCGTTCTCTAGGTTTTTCCCATACTCCGTGGAGGTGAGTATAGAAAACGAGTAGGGGAGGCTAACGGTGTTATCTGGAAGCAACACATTGTAATGCGCATCACTATCCCTTTGAACCCCAACATTATATATAAATTGTAACAATTTCAATGTATCGTAAAATATTCTAGTAAAACGTGCTAGCTTCTGTTTATTCTCTCCGCTGATAACTAATGAGTTGATTCGGAGTTAAAATAAAAAATTCATCTATAGCAACATGACAATATTTTTGACCTAGGTATAATGTTTATGACTTTAGCTTAATCTGTCCTTTGTACTGTTATTTGCAAACAAATGCACTACATATATTATTTCTATGATACAGATATAAAGTTTTCATTCAAGTTCAAATTTTAGGCTCATAGTTTATGAATCTAATAATATATTTTTGATTGTTCTAACATTTGTTATAAGATTTTCTTGATAATAAAGATATTCCAGTAGCAAAAAAAGAATTTATAAAATACATTGTACATACAACGAATGTATTACATTTTATTAATACATGTTTATAATTTTCAGTTACACAATGGTATCACCCTTGGTCGGCATAGCCGTTTTATATTTGTTTTGTTCGATAAATGGACAACAAGGTCAAGACCTAGACGCTCTAATAAACTCAGTGTTCTCCAAACCGATATCTGAAGCAGCTAAGCCAGTAACTTCATCACCAGGAATCAACTTACAACCCGTAGAAAGCCATGGTGGTGAAGCTTCAACTGGTATTCCAGGAATTGGGGAGTGCACTTGTGTACCTTATTACCTTTGCAATAATGGAACTAGCAATACTAATGGAGAGGGAATTATTGATATTAGGTATTTTTTTATGATTGCTATATATATATATATATATATATATATATATATATATATATATATATATTTATATATATATATATATATATATATATATATATATATATATATATATATATATATATATATATATATATATATATATATATATATATATATATATATGCATATTATACAAAAACTTTTTAAACTTTGATGGTACACAAGGCAAATATCGAACACAGTATTTAATTAAATCTTGCCCAAGTACTTTCGATCACAATATCATCTTCAGGGGCATTTCGTCAATTGTGGCCTATCCAGCAATAACCGAATGTCATAAATGTAAACTGGGACATAACAAATACACTAAACAAAGACAAACAAACACTTTAAAATTTAAATTGGAGAAGCTACATTTTTATATTATAGAAGCCGGAGACAGAATGTTCATTCTGTCTTATTTAATTAAAAATCCTTTGTAATAGGTACATATTTACGGCCCAAACGGGCTAAGTTAAAAAGACAAAACGTTTTCGGAAACCATGTTCCATCATCAGTGTCCTAGAAAATAGTTAACCACTTAATTAAAAAGAACATAGGTTAAAATTTTGACTAAGGTTAATGAAAAATGTGGTTAATACTTACTAGGAGTACATGAATGTAGCCACCAAGAGTAAATATATGGGTAAAAACCCGTTAACAGATGTTTAATTACATTTAGTTTTAAAAATATGTTATAATTGTTTAAGATTATAGAGTTACCGATGGATTAGGTAACATGGCGACATATGACTCCACGTTGAAGTTGCTAGTCCTGAGACGGTATGTCTTCGAGGACTGTATGAGTGCAACTGATTGGCAATGACATTTGATGACAATAAGTTCTCTATAATCTTAAACAATTATAACATATTTTTAAAACTAAATGTAATTAAACATCTGTTAACGGGTTTTTACCCATATATTTACTCTTGGTGGCTACATTCATGTACTCCTAGTAAGTATTAACCACATTTTTCATTAACCTTAGTCAAAATTTTAACCTATGTTCTTTTTAATTAAGTGGTTAACTATTTTCTAGGACACTGATGATGGAACATGGTTTCCGAAAACGTTTTGTCTTTTTAACTTAGCCCGTTTGGGCCGTAAATATATACCTATTACAAAGGATTTTTAATTAAATTATAGTATAATTGAAACTTAAAATCTAACAGTTATGTTGTATTTTTTCAGAATAAACGACGGCCCTTGTGGTAACCAATATATTGACGTATGCTGTGATAAGAAGAATACAGTCGAAGAACCTATAACCCCAACTCCCAACACAAACACTGTTGGTTGTGGCCATAGAAATTCAAGAGGAGCTGGAGTAAGAATTACCGGCGCGATGGATGGAGAAGCTGAATTTGGGGAGTTCCCTTGGATGGTGGCAATCTTAAGAGAGGAATCGGTAGAAGGTAACCCGCTAAAACTGAACGTTTACCAATGCGGTGGTTCACTGATCCATCCTCAGGTTGTGCTTACTGCAGCCCACTGTGTCGCCGGTAAAAATAAAGTATTTAAAGTTAGAGCTGGAGAGTGGGACACGCAGCATGAGAAGGAGCTTTATCCGTTCCAAGACAGAGAGGTGAAGTCGATTGTTGTTCATCCACAGTTCTATGCTGGAGCACTCTACAACAATGTAGCTCTTTTATTTTTAGCATCACCTGTCAGTGCCGCTGAACATATATCCACAGTGTGCTTACCCTCACAAAATCAAGCAGTGCCATCTGCATCTGGATTTGCCACTGGTTGGGGAAAAGACCAGTTTGGCAAAAAAGGCAAGTACCAGGTCATTCTAAAGAAGATTGAATTACCGGTAGTAGCAAATAATATTTGCCAAGATAAACTAAGAACGACTCGTTTGGGTAGGTTCTTTGAACTTCACAATAGCTTTATGTGCGCTGGAGGAGAGCCTGGTAAAGATACTTGCAAGGGAGATGGAGGCAGTCCTTTGGTGCTTCCTACTGGTACCGAAGAAGATAAATTTTACCAAGCTGGTATTGTAGCGTGGGGAATTGGTTGTGGTGAGAATGGCACCCCCGGTGTTTACGTAAATGTTGCTAAGTTTAGGAGTTGGATCGATGAGCAAATGGCGAGACAGAACTTGGACACTTCTACCTATAAATACTAAACTTAGGTGACTTATGTAATTAAGATTGACTTTTATACGCTTTATTTCAATAAAGTTTAAAATTTTTACAATTTTTTTTAAATTCGTTTTTAAATTAACGTTTTTAAAATGTAAACTTTCTTTTACATCCTCTATTCTTTCGTCCTCAATTAAGCGAACACAGAGGATTTATTCTAAAATATGTGTTTATCCATACAGCTCATATCATCGATATACATGGCACATTACAGATACTTTTTGATTAAAAATTATATAACCCGGATAACTCTTACTTACCTCAGATTACTCCTTGGCGTACTCCAATCTTGATTTTTAATTGTTTCAAGATTCTTTAACTTCATATTCATGCTGTTGTTATCCTTTTACTTACGGTCTTTAAGTTTGTCAAATTCTAATGTATTTGTTATAAAATTAATAAATAGAACTATGTTTTAAATTATTGATTTTACAGAATTAAGAGTATTTTAACATTTCCATGTTCAAAACAGTACTGACAGACAATATCGCTTGGGTGTATAATTATAATTAGTGATTAAAAACACAAAAAGCAACATACCAGTGCATATTAAACAAACAATAAAAATAGTTAGTTTTACAGATTCTATTAAAAATATACAGGATAGATAAAATGTTTTATTGTTTATACAGTAAAATTAATTTGAATTATTTAGAATATTACAGTAAATATTGCTTAACTGTCCCTTGTCTGTCTTGCAATTTTTTGACTCTTTTTCTTTATTGATGTGGAATATTTCCAAAAACAATCTTTTTTTTGTAACTATTTTCTTACCCTGACATTTGGGTAGTCAAAATGGTGCCCAGTTTTTAAATGGTGGTTAACTGCCGCACATGTATTTTTATTTTTAACTACACGAAAATTGAAACTAGCAAAACATAGGCGTTACATTTAATTTTTAAGAGGTGTAGTTCACTTTCAATGAACGGATACTTTTTCACAAGAATATAGTTATAACAAAAAAAAATGGATGTCTGAATTTTGCAGCAAAATACCTGTCTAACAATGTGCCACACATGATATATTCCCTATTTAAAGTCCCTATAAAAAATATCTTGGGAAGATATTTAGACCTATTAACAAAAACGGAGTTTGGAGATCGAGATACAACCACGAACTCTACCAACTATTCAAACATCTCAGAATTCGTTCAACTTCAGATACTTCTACGGATGGTCATTTAGTTAGAATGGAGACCGAAAGATTGCCGAAAAGATACGTAGATAATAAAATGCAGTAAAGTACAACAATTGTAGCTAGCGAGACATGTTCTAATGGTTTTTATAGGTCTGTAAAATTGGACTTTTAACCTTTAGAAAAAAATATTTTGTTTTAGAAAAAGAAAAAAAATTAAATAGTATTTAATAAACAAATTAGTAGATTATTGCAGAATCTGTTAAATCTCTTAAACATTGACAAAAAACTGTTCAAATTTTTTGGCAAAGATTTGGGTTCTAGGAAAAATGTAACGTTGTCAGCGTGTATGATTCAACTTGAAGTTTTCTGTAGTGTTGTAGATTATATATTTCTCTAACGGTAGACAATGTCTGAGATTAACAATTTCGTCCCAGATTAAGGCGATGTAACTAATAACAACGCCATCGTTCGGGTAGTTCTTTTATTGTATGCTATCTGTAACTCAGTTTCATAAGCGCACTAACAGAGGTTTTATCATGCAGAATACCGAATTGTTTGTACTGTTATTAGTAGAAGGCGCTTTTACGTTTACTCTTTCTAAATTGTGAGTAATTTAGTTTAATTCAATTTTGTGACAACTCATAAGTATGCTTGACAGTAGTAATGGTGAACCTGAATCGTGCCAAAAAGAAATAGAGATTTAACATTTAACGAAGAAAAAACTATGATCGGAAATGGCTTTGAAGGACTTCGAGCCAGATAACAAAATTTGAATGTAAGCGATGTAGTTACATTAGGTAGTATTTTGACAAAAGTTTCAGAAACTGGTGCGTACAGAGTAATTAAAACAGACGATGAAACAAACGATAATAATACTTTGAAGGTTAAGACAAAAGAAAGGAAACAAATAAAATTGGATGATACAACCAAATAGGCCATTCGTCATGCAATACATGAATTTTATTTTAAAGAGGAATTACCAACTATAAAAAAATTGCTTCTTCTCTTTAATCTAATAAAAATATTCCAAAAATATTAAGACGTGTTTTGTTACGTACTTTACGTGAAATATGCTTTAGGTATTTAGAGAGAAAGAGGAATAGTACCTTTTATGGCTCAAAAAGTGTCTGAAACAAATAGCAGAATTTCGTAGAGAGGGAAAAACATATAAATGAAACATAGTTAAATAAAGAACAATACTGTGACAAAAATTTGGCCTAGTTTTCCTAGATGGTTTGTGGACAAGTTTAAAAGCCCCATCTGAAAAGAACAAATGCCTTATTATTAGCCATATTGGCAGCGACTCAAGGTTTGTTAAAGGAGGGTTAAATTTATTTAAAAGACTGGAGATTACCATGAGGAAATGAATGGTTTTCAGATATTCTGTTAAAAATCGAACCAAGGTCTGTTATTGTTTTGGATAACGCCCCAAAGATAAATATATAATATATACATAGTAGATAAAATGGCGCGAGAGCGAGGCGTAATTTTTGGTTCGATTGCCGCCGTACTATTATGAGTTAAACCCAATAGAACTTATATGGGCTCAAATAAAAAAACAAGTAGCAAAGAATAATGTTACTTTTAAATTAAATGATGCAAAAAATCTGCATAATAGTGCCATTAGAAATGTGACCTTACAGTCGTGGATAAAATGTATCGAGCATCTAGTGAAAGAAGAGCAGAATATGTGGAATCTTGATAACTTCATTGAGATTACCATGAAACAAGTTGCTGGAACTAAGTCATTAAACCTTATTTGATAATAATAGGAATTAAATTTAATCCTGGAATCAGTCATACGTTTGTTAATTTAAACGTATAAAGGTTGCACGAGTTGCACGAATGTCCATAAAAACAATCGATATCTATTTTTCTAATCTCTAGAGAATTCTGACCTAATATAATTTTTATGATAAAATCGAACACATATTTAATACTAGCGAAACAGGATTAAAACTGAATACTAGAGCCGGTCAAGTTCTAGTCGAAAAAGGTTCAAAATGTGTTTCCAACGTAAGTCCTGGGGAAAAGGTGAAACTTTCAGTGTAATCGCTTACTGTAGTGCAGAAGGGATTTTCTTGCCTTCATTTTGCATTTGAAGGGGAAAAATATAAAAAAACGAGTGGCATTATGGTATGCCACGGTGTTCCAAGATTAGGATGTCGGATATATCAGCATACTTTAACAGTGACATTTTTTTAGAATGGTTACAAACACACTTTTTGTAGAGAAAGTCTTCAGATAAAATCTTATTAATATTAGATAGCCACACATCCCATACGACCAACCTGGATCTACTAGAATTTGCAGACCAAAACGGAATAATTTTATTTTGTTTCCATCCCACACAACACATCACCCATAGCCTCTGGATTGTGATTTTTTTAAGTCACTTAAAAGCAACTTTGATGCTGAATACCGTTTTATGGTACAGAACTCAACAGAACTCAACATCTCTCCAAAATGCGGCTTCTGCATTTAAATCCACGGGAATTTATCCGTTTAATATTTTTCATTCAATTTGACATACTATAATTTCCTTTATTAAATACGCAGCCCATGACGTATATGCATGTTTTTTATATTAAATTAAAGCCATTTGTTTTTGTAATATAATGATATAAGATTGTCTAAAAAATGTTTTAAATTAGTGTTGCCAGCTGTTAAAAAAACTAAAAGAACTAGTAAACTAAAAGTTTAAAAGAACTAAAACGCGACATACAAAAACAGAACGAGAATTTAATAGATCGAGTCATTGAAAACAACAGAGACTTAAAATGTCTAAGACACGCACTGGGAGTTCAAAAAATCATCAAATTTAAAGACGCCAACAATAAGGAAGAGGGGAACAAATATTAAATAACAAATCTGGTCGAAGACTTCTACACATTCTTGTACAGCTTGCAAAGCCAGCCTAATGAAACACAAAGGAGAACGTCAAAAGAAAAATAAAAACGTGGGATCAGAAGTAGTACCAAATATAAAGGATTTGAAATAGAAAGAGCTAAAAAATAATAAAGCTTCAGGACACGACGGTATAATTGCCGAGCTCTTGAAAACAAGTAAGACATTAACAATCCCTGTATTAACAGAGCTATTTAATAGTTGTCTCCATAATAGCAAGTTCCCCAAAGACTGCAATGAGAGTCTAGTAATACTCTAACACAAAAAAGGGGACAAATGTGATCTACAGAATTATAGACCTATATCGTTGCTCAGTCAAGTATACAAACTATTTATGAGAATTATTAACAACCGGTTGACCTACAAAATGAACAATTACTAACCGGTTGACCAGGCTGGCTTTCGCAAAGGATATAGTACATCAGACCATCTGCTGACAATGAGAACAGTGATAGAGAAGGGAAAAGAATACCAACTACCCGTATTTCTTGCGTACGTCGACTATGAAAAGGCGTTTGATAGTATCGAGATGTGGGCCATAGAACAAGCTATTAATGGTTGTAGAATAGATTCGAGATATAGGCAACTAATACATAATATATATGAAAATGTAACTATGCTAGGACAACTAGACGAAAATACAAATCCCATCCCCATTAAGAGAGGAGTGAGACAAGGAGACGTAATAGCGCCAAAGCTTTTCAACCTAGCCCTAAAAGACGTCTTTAAACTACAAATTGGTCAATCTATGGCGTTAACATTAATGGCAACAAGTTAAACCACAAATTCGTTGACGACATAGTGATTATAGCGAGCACATTCAAGGAACTGCAAATTATGATGGGGGAACTAGCAGGCAGCTCCCAATACGTCGGCCTAAAAATGAATATGAAAAACAAAAATAATGATAAACACAGATGACCCCAGACGTATAACTATAAATGGCAGTGAGATAGAACAAGTCCAGGAATATATCTACCTAGGCCAAATCCTAAAACTTGACAAAGGGAACCAAAG